ATATATATATATATATCTTTTTTTATTTATCATACGTATCTAGAATTGTAATCTTTATATCGAGCGACCAGGCCCGATCACAATGTAAGATTCTCACGCGTCACGGATCGTTTCGCAGCATTCAAAATATCATCTGGCAAATTATTTTTTCTTAACACGTGTCTTTTTCATCAAAAAGAAAAAAAAAAGAAAAATTGCGCTCCACTTAGATTTCGAACGGTATCAAGGAAGGAGATTAAAACGAGCCGCGTGCCGATTCGCTCACCGAGAATCGAACTGCTGATACGTATATTATATTGTAATATGCGATATAATATATAATATATAATATAATATCATAAACTATATATATACCCATATGAAATTCCTACCCAAGGTATCCGAAGAGTTCAACGCTACCTTCTGAAGGAGAGAAATGAAAATATTGGAGATATTGCAAAAAGAAAGAGAAAACTCTAATAAACTCTACATTTTATGTTGAAGCAAAATGCGAATACTTTGGCACTTATTCATATCTTTGCAGAAGTAATATTACAAAAATTTTCACAAACTCAATATAAATTCCATTTTATATTTTATAAAAGAAAATATCAAAATAATTATATATCAATGTATAGCACACAAGATAGTCATTTTTACGATGATAAAGATCCTGTAATTTATTTAAAAAGATTTGTTTACGTTTGTATACGAGATTGGCTAGATTTTACATCAAAAGACATAAGATATAAATTGCATTTAAATAAAATTAGTGCGAAGCGAGCGCCAGCGTTTTTTCAGAGGGAAGAAGTTATGTATATTTTATGCAAATGAGATTCTCATGTGGCAGCTTGCAGGAAATGTAATTCAGGATCTTAGCCGTGTAAATTCAAAACTATCCGTAGCATTTTACAAAACGCGAGTTACGAAGAAAAAAGCTCCATTCATCTAAAATTGATCGAGCATCAAGATATTGGTTCTCTCCTTTTCCATCTCTCCTTCTTCTTTTTCTCTCTCCCTCTCTCTCTCTCTCTCTCTATCTTTCTCTCTCTCTTTCCTGGGTAGGAAACAACATTGCATTGAAGAGTATAACTCCAGTAAAGAAATGTTCCCTATCCTAGTAATTAAAAATCTTATGTCGTTCGTAGCACGGCTACGAACGTGTTCTCACAACCTTATCACAACCTTATTATAGAGTGCCCTGGTGACGAGATCGAACTATCATCGGGTCGTACGATACGTCCGATCCAATTTTTTTTTTCACCCTACCAATTCACCGTTTAATCCATCGTTTGGCGCGGCACTCGAGGAGATGGCGATTTTTTCGCCGCCTGTTCCCTCGTGTTTTTATCGTTAAATATACTTTAAATTGTATTCTGGTCATATAAATAGTACTTCGCGAATGTTACGTATGTGTAAGTGTATGTGTATGCGTGTGTGTGCGCGCGTATATGTGATTCTATACAGAATATGTCGAAATCACCGATACATATTTTATTGACAAGCGACGAAGTCGCAAGAGTGGATGGTTCGCTTGGGAGTTTTACTCTCGAAAGCGGTTCTTAATAGTAAAATGTTTCGACAAAGACGATCGACAATCACTCCCAATTTTGTATTCGTTTGAGGATTCTCAAACGAATATATATCCTGTTTTAATGTTTCATGAAATGTTGATAAAAATATCAACCTCGGAGATGTACATGAATAATACAAAATGCCATTCTATTATCTTGCCGATAAGCAAGATGAAGAATTGTAAATCACGGTACAGAGCTACAGAGATCGCTAAATCGTTGGATACGATGATTGTACATTTGAAAAAACTGAAGAAGCCAATTATAAATAAACGTAAAAGTAAAGCACCTGTCGTTAAAATTGATAACGGTGATTTTCCGATAAACCGTGTAGAGACACGTGACGGTGTAAGAGCGCGTCAACATAAATACGCGTCGGCAGATGATTTAAAGTGTGACTTTAATGACTATAATTCGCGGTCGTGATTGAGCGCGGGGCGAATCATGGAAATTTATGACTCGGTGTTTTGAACATCGCGCCGAATAACGACCGTCCCGATAGTGACGAACGATGCTTCTTACGTTTGTTTCCTTACGCTACATGCTCCGCGATTGAAATAGAGAGACTTATGGCTGAGTAATTAATTATTCACAACCGTAATACTTGTTAACGATCGGTAGATACGTAGGTCTCTACCGATCGAGTCTACTTAAAATGTACGCACGATTATTTCTCCGTTGTCGTTGGTAAGAAAAGCACGTCCCAATTTTTCTCCAACCCGCTAAACCGACAGACAGTTACCCGACGGAGATTCTTCTCTTTTTCATCCGAGGTTGGAAGCTGCATCGACGAACGCCGATTGTCGCGCGAGGGAAGAAAGAAGAGGGTGGCTTCTCGCGAGATCGGCGAGAACGCGAGTCTCTCCCCGATTGCGACCTCAATTACGGTCTACCTGGTAGCGAGCATTGTTGATCGTGATAGATCGTACTTTTATACGTTCTCGAGTGCTAAATTCAATATCATTAATCATTTTCTACCGGCTATAGATTAATCTCTGAAATCGCGCGGATGGGATTCATATGAAGCTGATGGAGCTTCTCGTGATAATATTAGGGGAAGATGGTCGCCGGCCAACACACAGGAACCATAATTTCCTTTATTACTCCCGCGAAAAGTTCCCCTTTGCAACTTTTGCCCTCGGGAACTCTTCAGGGGCGAATTAGCGCTGGTCCGGCTGCCAATCTTGATTGCAATGCACTGCTTGCATCTTTCAGATAAAACTACATCCATTTCCTTCTTCAACGTCTCCTTGAAATCCTTGATAAATTTTCACGAAACTTATGATAAGTGCACATTACTCTTGTCCGACTCTCTGTTAGAGTTTTTACGGCAATCCGTTATGTCAGTTGAAGGAAACAGATTCCTGGCGTTTTTGTTCCAAATTCAAATTTACTTTGAAAGTCGCGTAATTCAAATTTAAAAATTTTCTTGCAAAATTTTTATTTAGGTCCACGGCATATTAAGAATCTAGATTAATCCTATCAATTATAATAATTTTCGCGTAAACAGAAATCATTCATTTTTCCCTGTCATTCTTGAATATGACAGAACGAGAATTAATAAACTTTTGCACAAATTTCTTTCTTTTTCGACATGAACAACAGTGCGTTAATATATGAGTTTCTTGGATAAAGAAATTAAATTATCGTCTTCTTCTGCGCATTATTCTCATTACGAATATTACTGCTCGCGTTAAGATCAATACCTTAATTAAACGCGTAGTCAAAAATAAATTACCGCGTTGACTCAAGTTTCGTAGGATCGGTTCGTAACTTGTCGTGAAAGGAGAATAATTCCATCAATTTACGATCTGGTAACTTACTTGCTCCGGGTTCTCTCGCTTCGTAACATCGTCGTCTTTGTGCTGACTGCGTTTAAGTTTTTACCACGTAACATAACGAGCTGTGCAAACAAGCGATCTCGAGGTAAGCGAGGCATCAAAATTTCTGTTAATTGCGACGTGCGGCTACGCGCGAGCGACACGCTTCTCCCTGGACGAAGAACTTATTTAATGACTCTCGACTTAGTTAGGACGAAAGTCTTGCGGGTACAGAACGACTACTACTAACCGATCGCCGCGAGATTCCGCTTCGCTTGCCGTCACTGGAACGAGAGATTCGAGAGATCGGCCGATCGCGAGGATCCTCCGCATCACCAAATCCTAAGAACCTCAGCGGATTCGCAGTAGTCGCCTGAACGCTCTTCTATAATCGAGATTGAAGATCGTATATATGAGGGGATTGAGAGCGCTATTGACATAACCGAGCCACGTGATGAAGTACACCATCCGGTCCGATGGGCAGCAGGCCGGACAGAACGGGACGATGACGTACATGAGGAAGAATGAACTTACTTGCTCCGGGTTCTCTCGCTTCGTAACATCGTCGTCTTTGTGCTGACTTTGCGTTTAAGTTTTTACCACGTAACATAACGAGCTGTGCGAACAAGCGATCTCGAGGTAAGCGAGGCATCAAAATTTCTGTTAATTGCGACGTGCGGCTACGCGCGAGCGACACGCTTCTCCCTGGACGAAGAACTTATTTAATGACTCTCGACTTAGTTAGGACGAAAGTCTTGCGGGTACAGAACGACTACTACTAACCGATCGCCGCGAGATTCCGCTTCGCTTGCCGTCACTGGAACGAGAGATTCGAGAGATCGGCCGATCGCGAGGATCCTCCGCATCACCAAATCCTAAGAACCTCAGCGGATTCGCAGTAGTCGCCTGAACGCTCTTCTATAATCGAGATTGAAGATCGTATATATGAGGGGATTGAGAGCGCTATTGACATAACCGAGCCACGTGATGAAGTACACCATCCGGTCCGATGGGCAGCAGGCCGGACAGAACGGGACGATGACGTACATGAGGAAGAATGGCAGCCAGCAGACAACGAATACACCCATGATGACGCCCAGGGTCCTCGCCGCGCGCCTCTCCTTGGACAACGAGATCCGCTGTCGTTCCTCGATAAACTGGTAGACGGTTGCCGAGGTGGCAACGGTGCCGACGCCGGCACCACGTCTGGTTGACGCGGTTGTTCCGCTGCCGCCTATCGTTACCTCGGTAGGTTCGTCGTCGATCAGCGACGGCTTCGCCTGCAGACGGGGCGTCGAACGCTCGTTGTGATTCGTCTCCGAGCTAACCGATTCCTCGGCGTCGTCGGTCTCGCGGTGTCTGGTGGACTGCACCGGGCCCAGCCTGCTCTGCCGGGCCCGTTCCCGTAGTCTCCTGCGCGTTGCCAGGAAGATCTCCAGGTAGACAAGGCTCATCAGCAGCAACGGTATAAAGAATGAGCCCAGGGAGGAGTATACGACGTAGCCCTGGCGTCTGGTGAGTTGGCAGGGCGTACCCGGTTCCAATTCCTCCGGCCAGTCGTTCCAACCGGCTAACGGCGGCGAACTGATAGCACCCGAGAGGATCCATACGCCGGCGATCGTCCCAAGAACTCGCTTGAGGGTGCGCTTCTGAGCATAATTGATTGGATCGGTGATCGCCCAGTAACGGTCCATCGCGATCGCGCAGAGATTGAGGATGCTGGCGGTGCAACAGAGCACGTCGCACGTCAGCCACAGTTTACACAGATGAATGCCGAAGATCCACTTGCCCAGCAGCAGGTAGGTTACGTTAAACGGCATCACGAGTATCGCCACCGCGAGATCGGCCACTGCCAGCGAGACGATAAAGAAATTCTGGACGATCCGTAGAGGCCTGTACGTGAACACGCTCAGGATCACCAACACGTTGCCGAACACTGTCGCCACTACGAGGAAGCTCAAGGTCAGCGTGGCCACCACGGCCTCCCACGTCGGTAGATTCGAGCCTGTCTCCTCTTCCGGGACGCTGCAGCCCACCTCGTAATCGTCGGACATCGTTCCGCCAGATTCTCCGCTTGAATTCATGTCGTCCAGGATACCCTCTGCGAATCAAATCGTTCTTTATAATGTCTTTGTTCTTGGTAAGTCAATTTCTCTCTCTCTCTCTCTCTCTCTTTCTCTTGCTTTTTTTCTTTCATCCGTTGAACGGTACCAATGTTTATAAAGCGCGTTCGCTCTGATATTAAAGAGCTCTAACGTAACACGAGTGATTTAAATATGCAAAAATTAATTTGGTTTCGGAATCGAATACACGCAAAGATGTATATTTAGTTCGTATGAAATTTAAGTAACATTTAATATGCAAAATATAAATTCCGATCGTACTTTTCGAGGAATAGGTACGATTGCGAACTACAAATAGCGAAATGTCGTCTCAAACAAAAATTAATACAAACTTTGTGTTTCTTCCGAAAAATCTCTACGGTTACGGAAATGTATTCGCCAATCCAATTCGCTTATGTCAGCCAAACTTTTCAGCGTCAATCTATAAGGTTGATCGAAGAGTTAGGTTTAGCCAGAGCACGTCGAATCGTTAAAGAAGACACATGTACGCGTGCGTGTATATGTGAAAATGTTTCAAAAGTTTCGGAAAGATCCCAACTCCGAGTTGCCGAATCACTTGCGATGTATCAATCAAAATACGTTTCAAGAAAATATGATCAGAAATGATTAGAGCAAAAATAGAAAATTCCAAAAGCTTTCATTCAATTTAAGGAACACTTTAAATTTGCGCATCTCATCTATATTATTTGTTTTATAATTCGCTTCAAATACTTTCTAAATGAAGAGTCCAAACTTTACTGTTGGCAAGTAATTTTTGTTCTTTCGTTCAATTTAGGAATTATGGACTTTGCAAACAGCGTTTAAGCCGACTAATTAAAAACAGCTTCGAAATCAAAGGGTTAAGCGGTTATAAATATTCACATGCATATTCAATAAAAACCAGATGTTATACAGCTAACTGGTTTGAAAATAACGAGTAAAATTATTAACGTCGCTAATAAATCCCAACGTCAAGCATGGCAGCAACGCTTTTTCCCGACGTTATAAATTATCGAGCCGCAGATTGGCTATACGCAGGAGGTATTATTTTCTGCACGAGAGCCCGCAAGAAGAGTCCCAAAGCGCGGAAAATGTTTCCATTTTCGTGTGCTCAGCGTGCGCCCCGGCTTTGTCACGCTCTCCTCGGCTCGCTGGAAAACAGTCGCCGATAAAAATATAGGGTTTAAAGACACACGCATAAATTGTCGCGCGGGAAGAGAAACGGTCAACGAGATGAACGTCCCGTGAGACGGCGAAGTAAGATTTTCCGCGCTTTCGCGCGGCTTTCCAAACCGTTGGAGACGCCCTTCCGATATCGCGCCGTCCAAGAAATCTACCCTCGCGAATCTTTACGATCAAAATTTTTGCTCCTTTCTTCTCTCCCGAAGAAAAATTACTCTCCGCGCGACGTGAAGCGGATCGCGTGAGATATAATATTTTTCACGCATCCTTTTTTATTTCCGCGCAATTACCACTTGGAGATTCGGGAAAACATTGCTCCCTCGAATAGCTCCGTTTTATTTGCCACTCGTCGTGTCAAAATAGTCGGGTACTTCATCATCTTCGTACTGGATCTTTCTATCTCTTTTTCTTTCCCCTCTATTTGTTTCCTTTTCTCTCTTTCTCGACTTCTCCGCGCCGACTAATCTGAAGCACGAGAGAGCTGTCGAACTTCAATTATTACACATGTTCGGCTACAAGGCAAATATTGATTTACTTAATGCCTAAGGGGGTTGAGAGCACCGCGAAGTACCGGAAAGTACTCTTCAGAGGGACGTGCAAGAAAGTAACCAGTTCGGTGAATCAGTGAACCGCAAAATGAAAAAAAAAAGATATCGCGCTCGTTGAGATGTTAATCGCTGCAAAAACCACGGCCAAATTAACGCTAAAAACTCTCATAGGAATTTGGCTGATGAAATATTCCGGACCAAAGCTACCGTATCGAGCCGCAAGTATTTGATTAAAGCAATCACGGAACTTCCATAATACCTAACATCGTTTAAGATCGACTTTGTTAAGCTTATCCCACTCGCTGAATTCGCCGTGTCTCGAGCGTACAGGTTCTGCATTCCGGAAGGAAAGGTTCGATGTTTGTGTAAAGAGAAGGGATCGAGATTGATTCTAAAAATCGACGATATCGCGCCCCACTTACCCGCGAAGGTGCATACACGATTGATTAATTAAATTCACAAGCGCGGAGTTTATTAATAACGCAGCGAATTGCGGTTAACACACGATACAACGGCGTATACAGTTTGTATATCACGCGTTTCAGTCGTCCCGCATGCAAATCTTCATGCAGAAACACACACACAAACACACACATCCTCTCTCTTCTCGCATGCAACGCGTTTATAAACTTTCAAGAAAATCACCGCGCGTGTAACATTGAAACTACTCATAATAATTAATGCGCAAAAATCATTAATCACGCGACTAGGACGCGACGAGGATGGGCAAAGTTGGAGAACAATACATATTCTGTCGCGAAGTATTTTGTACAGTTGCACAGTTGAACCGCGACGTAATTTCGCTCGCAACAACTCATCGGTGAATTTCACACGTTACAAGTTTCTATTAAAAAAAAAAAAAAAAAAAGAAGAACGAAGGTAGAGCTCGCACCTCGTCACCGCAACATCGTTCATGAGTGAACACGCTGTCCTAAACAATTCGATTATAACTCCGTCGTCATCCGGGTTTCACGTTCAATCGGATTATAAGCTAAATAGAAAATTTAGAAAATTGCACCAGCGTCGAAATTCTCCCAAAAAACATCGCACAGTTCACGCAAATATGTTTTATCAGAATTTTCAGGGTGTGTTTTAAGGACGAATCTGTCCTGACGAATTCATCGTGTATCTATCGCACCGAACATAAATTGCTGTCCTTAAAATTCTGCGAGGCGTGGATTATAAACGGGGTTGCATACTTTTCGTCAGTATCACGTTACGTGAGATAAATTTCGCGTAATCGATAAATTCTGTTTTACGTGCCGCAGCCTGGATACGATGTAACGTTACGTGACGCGATGGCGACTTTCTTATGCGCTTTTACACACGAATCAGAAATGGCTCGCGACAATCTCGCATTCTCAAGCGGCACATTACACATTTCTATCGCGTTTTAAAATCAATTATGCGCACTGTTTCGTCGGAACTGCATTATCGCACGATGGAAAATTTTATCGAAATAATTCTTTTAAATGCGCGATTTTCCTATGTAGGACGTTCCAATTTTCTCGCCGTACCTTTAGTTTTACTGTCTTAATTTTTTGATACGTCAAACATTATTTTACTTTTATACTTTGCAATAATAATATTAGTAATAAATTGAAAACCTTGGGAAGAGAAAACATTTAATTTCAAGAGAAACAGATCCGTCTGATTCGCTCATGTTATCTGGATGTAACTTCACTACAGGATTTTAGTTTGCTTAAGCTTATAACTAGAATATCCCAATTAAAGTACGTCAACTGCAGCGACTCGTAGTTGCTTTCGAGTTTTGATTAGAACAGAAAGTTCTCATCGACTTCTAAAACCTGGTTTAAATGACACTTTGCTTTTTTGTTATATTGTAGTATTTATTACTCAATCTCTTGAGAGATAAGCCTATTAATTCGCATATCGTAACAATTTATTATGATTTCCCCTTTCACATTCAACGCTAAAACCGCATTTCCTTGAACGTTAAAACCGTAGTTTTCTCCTCTTAATATTTTCCTTAACGTTAAAACCGTAGCTTTCTCCTTTTAATATTTTCCTTAAGAGGATGCCGGACCGTCCTGTTTTACCGGCCATAATAATTATATATTTGCTTAATATAAGGGTTTTGCGGAGTGTATGTGCAAAATAGGATACCTCTCCACTCGGAAATGCATGAAGGAATATAAGTAAACGTTTGAAACACAAAATAATGTTGTCTGCATAAAACCGACTCCTCATTATTTCAAGCACCGACACAAGTAGCAATATAAATATTTCCTCTGGGAAAAATAACGGTGTATCCATGGTATATAATGATAAATATCGATTGATCTCGCGAGTTTAACATGAGATAATAACAAGTAAGATAATACTGTTTGAATTACACGCTTCGTATTAGCATGCACCATTCACTTCATTAGTTGATCGTACCGTAACTCATAATGTTTCGAGTGCAGAGCATTAACAGCGGAATGCCATGCCTCTGTCTCTCGATGGCAATCGATGAGGCGTAATTGGCATGAACGCGAAAGGGCATTTGTCGAATATTCGGAACCTATCGTGACATTAATCACAAACCGGGTCAGCTGGCTTTTAAATCGGTTGCGTAACCATAAAATTATTTCATTCTGAATCAATACACGATTCGATTTGCAGCAACAATATTTAAAGAATATTTGTTATAACGAGAAGCGGAGGGAGAGAGAGAAAGAGAGAAATTATGTTCCCCGAGTAATTAAAATCCTTGTAATTCACGTGTACAAATATTTGGCAAATCCAAATAAAGTAAGGCAGAAAGGACAAACAACTTTGAAATAATAAACAGAAAATTAATTTGGCCGTTACGAGATCACGCTATGGAACGGCCATGCACGATGCAACAAAATCACCGTCGATTCACTGCAAATAAAATTAAGGCGCAATTGGCTTTGGAAGTAAGCCAGAAATCGGAAGAAAGTTCCGGCAAAGTACTCTACAATAATTGAATTTCCACGGCAAAGTCGTGGCCTTAATTCTTTGCCTGCGAATCGTCTATCGTTATTTTTTTTCGATCGAGTGATTTTTCGATTGTTACGCAATCTGTTATGCAATCTTCTCGCAACAATGGCAAAACACTTACTATCGAGTCCAGCGCTATACGCGTCCGGTCGTTCATGCGAAACCGTCAGAGATACATCGGACGTCACATTTTGATCCCCTGCCTCGCTTACGGCGATCGATCGGCTGATTTCAGCAAGGATCACGGGTCAAGTCGATCATCGGCTCCCACGGATTACACCGCCTGCAATGAAAAGCACACGAATCATTATACTGTGAAACTTATCCTAAAATTTGTCACGCGAGATAGAAAATTATAATGTAATTTAAAAAGAATCGGCTTTCGATAAAAGCGAACGATAACCTTCCTCCTCCGATAATATCGGAGAAATTGAATTTCCAATAAATTATAAACGTTAATCCTAATTTATGACATTTTCTACCATTATGTCAAGCGTTACTGATTTTTACATTATCGCTCGTGTATATGCACGCGACAAATAAAAATAGATTTACGTTCGTACCGTGATACTCGCATTGAACGAATGCAATAAAATGGAACGCGTAAATACACGGTAAATCGCGCCGCATCGAAAAGTTCGCTCCCATCTTCTTTTTTTCTCCCCGAAGTAGGTTTTACCGCGGTGAGGGAAAATTTAATTCGAGAGTTAACCCAGTTTCAGAAGAATGTGCGCGAGAAGATCTGTCCATATATACATAGATCCGTATTTGTAAAATGAGGTGCTTCGCAGCAGCAAACTTATAACAACCTGAAAGCAGACGCGACAAATAGTGCAGACCGATCGCATTCAGCGAGAGAGATTGTTTTGCAAGGATGCCGTTTTGTGAATTTCACAGTAACGCGAAGTGATAAAAGTTTCGTGCGAATCCTGCAAAGTAGTAAAACCGTCCGCCCAACCTTGTATATAATCGCTGTTATGGCGGGAGGAAGCTTCTGGGAAATTCGAATGCCATAAATTAAAATGATTTTAGAGAACAAAGTGTTTTAAAGCACATTGTAAAAATATATTTGAGTCTTTTAATTTTTCGAATTGCAATGTATTTTCGTTATATTCGTAATATTTGGCAGCTACTTCTTTTCTCACAAAAAGACATTGTTTATTTATTTATTCACCAGCGCTTTTATAATACTATACGGAAAAAATAATAATAACAATTATAAATAAATGATGACAATAATAACAATATTAAAAATAATAACAATATTTAGATAATAAATAAGAATTGTTTTCAGAAGTAATAAGGAAGATTCATGCCAGAATTTATTATCACCCCAGTCTAAATGAGTCTTTTTACGCTAACATTCACAATGCTATAATCGCGAATAATGAAAAAAAAGAGATCAGATAACAAGTGTACATTGCGTATATAATGTATATTATTTTTTTATTAAAGTAATAGCGTGAATGTAATCGATGCTCGTTATTTGGAGAGAAAAATTGCTGCGATTTGCGAAAAATATATACACTCTCTGTACACGAGGAAGATCTTTTTATACGTGACAATACGTCGCCTTAAGCAGTTTGAGAAGTTAAATCGACGTTATGACACGTTCTATGTATTTCGTTTATAGCAAATTTCCACTATGAAAAATGTTCGATTTTTCAAAAAGAGGACAAACGTCTATACGTATAAGGATGGAGAAAACAAAGAGAGGGATTTAAATCGCATGACACAGGATGGCACTGTCAAGTTTCTGTTGCGAAATGAATTTCGACCCTACAACTCGACAAAGTAGAGAGATGTGCTTATAACAGATGTCGAATATCCTTGAGAAAAGTACGGTGACATGTAGCTGACAATGAGAGATAAAATATATCACGCAAAGTATTATTTAATGATAAGTTTTGGAGACGTCTTGAGTGAGATTTAAATTTAATTCACGACATAGTCAATTTTCCATAAAAAGTATTATATAAAAAAATACTTGACACAGGAAAAAGGAGAAGATAAGGACAACTTGCGAAAGGAAAAAAAAAAAATACAGGTAGAATATAAAAGAGCCTTAATGAAGAAACATTAAACAAATACAAGAAAGAGAAGCAAAAAAGAATGTAATGTATTGCAAGAAGTATACGAGAACACGGAAAGATGTTTCTTGAAAAATATATATTGTATTGTTCCCGTCGTAAATTCGTATTCCATTTATTATTCCAGCAGCATCTCGCATTTACTACTCACCAAACTGGCATATCGATTCCTACGGGATTCATTTCTCAGTCGAATTTGCTCGTAAATGTACATAAGAGATCGCAGACTAGCGATTGACCTGACCGAAATTTATGATACCCGACAATTTCGTGAAATAATCGTCTTCGGCTGTTCATGTAAAATGCCATGTCTATAACTTTACCATAAAATGAGAAAAATAAGTGAATTATAAAACGCGGACGTTTTAATACTAGTTACTCTTTGGAACAAGCTTTTAGCTTTGGAACAAGTACTTTTCTATCACTTATAAATAGCCAATTCTCGGCTATTTCGGTTTTAAACTAGGTATTCTAATCGTTTCACTTTACGCGGCATGCTAGTTTGATGGAGTAGTTGTAATCTGATAACTGTTACGCCTTAATCACTTCATTATCTGACATGCGCAACCTGCAATAAATAGCCTTAATTTTGAATAAATTCAACGCTTCTTCTTTCGTTGTTGTATAATATTGCAATATCAATTATAGTGCATATCTTTCAGAAATAAGTATCTTTCAGAAATAATTTAAATTGTACGACAAAAATATAAATCCAAAGATCTGGAAAAGATTCAACTGTATAAATGAAGAGTAATACATTCTTAGGAAGTTCACCGTACGGCCATTGTATGCATATGTCGTCGAATATATTTCACATTTCACAGAACGAGTTTTACGCAATAAGAAGATTTTGAATAAATTCAACGCTTCTTCTTTCGTTGTTGTATAATATTGCAATATCAATTATAGTACATACAGTATCTTTCAGAAATAATTTAAATTGTACGACAAAAATATAAATCCAAAGATCTGGAAAAGATTCAACTGTATAAATGAAGAGTAATACATTCTTAGGAAGTTCACCGTACGGCCATTGTATGCATATGTCGTCGAATATATTTCACATTTCACAGAACGAGTTTTACGCAATAAGAAGAAGAATTGAACGGGATATTATCTCATGCCGCGCACACATAGTATAACCGTGCTCTATCGCGTGTATTTCCCTTGCCGGATTTGGCTGATGGATCCCTCTCGTTGGGAAATTGCTGTTCACTCTAAGGGAGCTTATTTCGCTATCTTTTTGGTACAAAGATTGTAACGGTATAAGCAGCTGCTGCTTGAAAGCCTCGTAGTTTTCATAAATTGAAATTCCGAACGGATATGTATAAGCCGAATTAAGCGTCCACGTAGTTCTGGTGGTTGTTAATTCGGCTTACATATCCGTTCGGAATTTCAATTATTAATTCAATATATATATATATATACACGCACTGTTTCTCATCTGAAGTTTTACCAACAAAAATTTAATCTTGCTAGTTTAACGTTTTTGGCTACAATTGTAGTAAACACTCGCATAATATTAAAAGCAGCTTTTGAACAACGCAACGTTATACGCGCCATACTAATTTGCATATTTTCGTCGAATATTTTCCCTCAGTTATTTCCAAGTTTTACCGTGAAATGCGTTTTTAGCTGGTTTTTAGATGAATAGTTACAAGTTACTTCCAATTTTTCTTTTATTCAAATCGCGCAAACTTTATCTTCATAATTCGTCGATAGGTCCCGACTTTTCTCGTGTTCGATATTATATCAATCTTCTTTCTTCGGATTGTGGTCTAAAATTATATGCAAATATCTTGGCTGAATTAGACCGCTTGATGTGTTCGAGGTATAAGCTTCGACACAATTGAATTTGAGATGAGAAATATAATACAAAAAATAAAAGAAAAAAGCATTATATGAAGCAAGTTAAATTTCCATACGGGAAAAGCAGAAAGAAAAAATTATAATACATAATAGGAAACTTTTAAAATATAAATGTAACTCGAGCATGTTTGCAATATCGCAATATACAATCTTTCCTATTGACTATGTTGTTTCCAAACGTCTCAAGTGAACCGGATCTGTTTTTAAATTATGTATCTTGAAAACTCGTGTACCGTAAAAGGTCAGTGGCTTCATAAAATGAGAACAATCGGCAAAAAGAGCAAAAGAGATTCTCGTTTCGATACATTTCTTAGTTACAAAGTTCTTTCTCCCTCAGTTTTATAACGTTTACAGCAATAAAGGCACCGCAAGCGAACGCATTGCGTGCACTTCTTCCACGTTTTTATCTTTAGCTCTTCGTATCTATGACCGCTATCAACCCGCTTTTGATGATACCTACAACCTCCACTGCTGATGATACCTATAAAGATACAGTCGTTGCAAATACATTTAATGTTATCGCGAAAATTCATATAATGTACAAATTATAAATATCTTTCCGCATTGTGGATTTATATGTGAATTTTCAATTAATTGCGTATTAACTTTGTCCACGCGGCTTAGGTTTTATGGATTTACTAGTCGTTTAACACGTTTCAATGCCGCAAGGATCCCCAACGACCAACCTATGTTCATTAATTATATACATATACATATATATATA